AGTTTGAGGCCAGCCTGGGCTACATAGTGAGTTCAAGGCCAGCCTGCACCACATAGTGAGAGCCTGTCTCAAAAAAATAAGATTGGATGGAGCCAGCCAAGACCAGTTCTCCAGACAAAAAGGAGCCTCCCGGTGTTGGGGCTCTCCTACTATAGGTAGGATTTGGGGAGGAGTGGTCGGGCAGAGCTGACTTCCTTGGCTTGGGTGGAAAGGCTGAGACTCCAACATTTTGCCCAGGTCTCAAAGATAAGTTGGAATCCCCAAAGCAGCATAAATATTTTAATGAATGCCAAGCCAAGCCAAGCCAGGGATTTAGCTCAGTGGTTTCGCCACCTGCTGTGCAAGCGCAAGGACCCGAGTTGGATCCCCAGTACAAAAAAAAAAAAAGCACAGATGAATGCCAAGCCAAACTTGTACTGCCTTCTAAATTTAAAAACTATCACATTCACATCATGTGACTAACAATAGTAACCACAATGATGTGTAGTTCCTGAACACTACAAAACAGTATTCTAATTAGACACAGTGACTTGGACAGAGGCTGCACTATACAGTTGACTGCTCCCTGATCGAGCCAGGTGTGTGTCTGGGTTTTCGTTCCTACTATGTGAACAGCTGCCATTCTTTTTTTTTTTTTTTTTTTTCTTTAGTACGGGGGATCAAACTCAGGACCTTGCACTTGCCAGGCAGGCGCGGTGCCACTGAGCTACATCCCCAGCCCAATAGGTGCCATTCTGAGCACAGAGGGTGCAGTGTTACACAAGACAAATGAAGTTCCTGCACTCATGGACTTTAGAGTCTGAAACAGTAACAAAAAAACTACAGAATTAGCTGGACATGGTGGTGCATGCCTGTAATCCCAGCATTCAGGAGGCTGAGGCAGGAGGATCGCTGTGAGTTCAAGGCCAGCCTGAAGTACATAGCGAGATGTCTCAAAAAAAAAAGTGTAGAACTAATTACTTATATATTTATTTCCATAATCAGTTCCAATTGTGAGCTGTGGATAACGGGGTGATGATGACTGGCAGGGAAGAGGAAGTGAGAATGGAGCTTCAATCTGCTCATGGAGCTGAGAAAGAAGAGACAAGGCAAAGCCAGAGAAAATCGAGCAAACAAGTGTTCTAGACAGAGACTGCCAGGTACAGGGGCGCACACCTGTGATCCCAGCTAGTCGGGAGGCTGAGGCAGAAGGATTGCAAGTTCGAGGCCAGTTTGGGCAAGTTAGCCAGATCCTGTATCAAAATTTTAAAAAATAAAAAGAGGTGTGGATGTAGCTCACCGGTAGAAATGTTTGCCAAGCATGTGCCAGGCCCTGTACTGAAAAAAAAAAAAATCTCTTCCTAGATACACGTTTGATTGGTTTCATTTCTTGGGAGGACCAAGAGGAAACACAGCTTTGTATGAAACAATCTTCTTCCTCTTTATCTGGCCATCTCCCCCAGGGCTCCCTCTCTCCCTCCCTTCAGCCAAGCTGCCAGTCTGCTCAGGTCACTTCCGGGCTCCTGTCTTCTACCTCATGAAGCCCCAGGCCCTCGTCTTCATTCACCGTGCCCCACGTGGTCCAGGGTCACAGAACCCCCATCCCAGGCAGGTCATGCACATCAGGGAAAAGCGGACCCCACTCCCAGCTCCTGGTCTGTCAAGTTGGGGGAGCTTCCCCGCTTTGAGGGGAGACAACCCCAGAAGGGCGCTGTCTACCCCACCACTGTGGACACCGAGGAGGAGGTGCAGGAGCCCGACAAGCAACCCCAGGCTGCTGCAGGTGCTGCAACAGAGGGGAGAGCGGGAAAGACCCTGGGCCTCACTAGTCTCACTCAAGCCACCTGCCTGCCTGCCCGGGAGCCTGTCACGTGGGCCAATAAATCTTGTTTAAACTGGTTAGAATCTGGACTTCACTATCATTTGTTTAAGCAAAACATTTATTGGCACATCTTAGATATACACAGTAGCATTCATCGTAGGGAATTTGTACCTAGACATGATATATCTCGCTTCTTTTTCTCCCATTCCTCTCCTCCCTTCCACCCCTCTTCCTTATTTACAAAAGCTTTGTTTCCAGTTTTTCCTGTTTTTTCCTTGTCCCTTCTTTCCTTTCCCCCCTCCCCTCCCTTGCTTCCCTTCTCATTTGAACTTTTTTTTCCCATTTCCCAATGTCTGCTATACATTTTGGTCCTTATTTCCACTTTCCACTTCTCACACCACAGAAACAATGCAGTATTTGAACATGTGTCCTACTTTGTCTTGTCAGTGGGTATCTTGATCTATTTCCCCTGGCAAAGGTCATTTGGATCCTGTCTCCACCTGGTTTCTCAACAGCCACTTCTACCTTTCCCCCAACTCTACCTCTGGTTCCAGCCCTGCCCAACTTTGTGAAATCTGTCATCCCTCTGCTTGGAAAATCCTTCCAACCTGATTCCCAGGAAACTCCTACTCATCCCTCTGAATCTAGTTCAGAGGTGACTTTATAGATTAAATTCCTTGACAGCTCTGAAAATAAAATCTTTTCTCCTCCGCCCTGTCATCACAGCTTCTCGAGGGTGCAGCATGACAGGCATGGTGGCTCGTGCCTGTAATTCAGCACTCAGGAGGCTGAGGCAGAGTCTGAGGTGAGCCTGGGCTACCTAGGGAATTCAAGGTCAGCCTGAACTACAAAGAAAGATCCTGTCTCAAAACAAACAAAGCCTGTGGCAGGAGGGCTTGAAGTTTGAGCCCCAGCTGGGCAAGTTAGTGAGACTGTCTCAAAATTAAAAAATAGGAAGAACCTGGGGGTGTAGCTCACTGTGAGGCCCAGAGTTCAATCCTCAGTACTGGAAAAAGAAAAAAGTTTCCTCCCCTAAACCCTTCTAACCTTTTTCAGAAAAGGTCTTCATAATATTTGTTATCCTGGTTTCTGAGAAGGAAAAAAAATGTCATGAGACAAAAATATATCCCTCCATGCTGAAACATGCATCTTTCCAACCTTTCCACCAAGTCTGACAAAGGCAATGTCTTCCACATAGCTGAAGTCCAGGCAAAAATTATAGGCAGTGAGCTAGACATGGGGGTCTGGGCCTGTAATCTCACAACTCTGGAAGGCTAAGGCAGGAGGACAGCAAGGTTGAGCCAAGCTTGGGCAACTTAGCAAGACCTTACTCCAAAATATATTTTAAAATTTTTTTAAAGAGCCAGGGATTTAGTTCAGTGTTGCCACCACCTGCCTCGCAAGCACAAGGCCCTGTGTTTGATCTCCAGTACCCCAAAAAAATAGGATAAAGGAAATATGAACAAGACTTCAAATTTGGCTATAAAAATGTAATTTTCTAGAATGGATAATCTCTAAATGATACCGAGAAGGCTGGGGATTTAGCTCAGTGGTTCTGCCGCCTGCCTCACAAGCACAAGGACCAGAGTTTGATCCCCAGTACAAAAAACAAAACAAAAGACAGTAGAACAAACTGACCAAAGTGGTTATGGGAGAAAAAAATGACACTGAGAAGACAGTTGGGGAAGGAACTGCCTAAGAGTGGGTTTCTCAAAGCCATGGTCATATATTATTCTACCTCGGCTGACTCCACTGGGCCAGATTCCGGTGAGTTAGGTGTAAACAACGGGATATTTAATCTGTGGTACAGAAGAAAGATGATTCAGCTTTAGGGCTGGGGCTGTTGTTGGCCCAGTGCAAATATACAGAGAAAGTCAGCCTGCAGTGGGAAGGGGAGGGGAGGAGACAGTGTTACGGCTTGGGTCCCAATGTCCCCCCAAAGCTTCCTGTGGTCAGGCAGGGCTTTTTCAGAGCTGGCTGGATCTAGAGTGTGTGATCACTAAATCAGTCCACTGATTGGCTTGGCACTGTCCCAGTCCTGGTGGCTACAATATAGGGAACAGAAAGAAGCTTGTCTGGTCCCTTGTTGCTTTTGCTGTCATCTGCGTGCCATGAACTGTTTCCCCTCTGTCATGTGCCACCCTGCCCCGGAGCCAGCCGACTATGGACTGAAACCTCTACAAAGTGTGAGCCAAATAAACCTTTCCTCCTTTAACTTGTGGGTGTTGGGTATTTTGTCTCATCGAGAGGAAAGTAACTGAAAGAGAGACAAATGTCAGAGGCCACACAGGTACAAAGGGACAGAAAGTAACTGCCTTGGGCCCCGGAGCATTCAGGTAGAGTCCCACTTACCACAAGGACCAGTGAGAAGTAGTCCTTTGGATCTGGTGAGTCCCATCCCTTTGGTGGTATTGGGAATCCAACCCAGAACCTTGAACTGAGCTACATCCCCAGTACTTTTTTTTGAGACAGGATCTTGTGAAATTGCCCATGCAGTGCTTGAACTAGCCATCCTCTTGCTTCAGCCTCCCAGAGTGCTGGGATTACAGGTGTGCCACTATCTAACCCCCCTTTTTTCTGGTACCGGAGATCGAACTCAGGACCTTTCACCTGCAAGGCAGGCGCGGTGCCACGGAGTTAAATCTAGGCCTTATGCCCATTTTATTCGAAACAGGGTCTCACTACATAGCTCAGACTGCCTTGAACTTGTTGTGTAGCCCAGCCTGCCCTCCAACATGTGATCCTCCTGCTTCAGTCTCCATAGTACTGGGGTTACGGGTGTGTGCCACCCCACTGGCTGGACGCTTTGTTGGCACTTGGGAGTTAAGAATTGGGCTTGGGGCCAGGAATTTAGCTCAGTGGTGTCGCCACCTGCCTCAAAAGCACAAGGTCCTGAGTTCAGTCCCCAGTAACAAAAAAAAAAAGAAAAAAAAAAGAATTGGGCTTCGACTCTTTGATTATCACAGGCCTGAGTTTAAATGGTGGTCTTGCCAGGCCGGGGATTTAGCTCAGTGGTTCCACCACCTGCCTCAAAAGCGCAAGGTCCTGAGTTCAATTCCCGGTACCAAAAAAAAAAAAAAAGTTGGCCTTGCCCTATACCATAGTGTCAAAAGCGTCACTGAACTTTTCAGGGTTTGTTTTCCTACTTAGAACATAGAAAAGGAGGAAGAGACAATGAAGAGAGAAGAGACGACGAAGATTACAGCACCTCGCTCAGGAAGGTTTAATGATACTGAGCTGAAGCATTTACCAGCATCATCTGAACCTAGGCAGTCCAGGCTGATATAAGTACAAAACACATCACAACTGTTACTATTCTGTGTCCCCCTCCAGTAAACACCTCGTTTCTGCCATTGTCCCATCCTCTGGCAAAAGACCCCTAGTTTTCTTGGGAACTTTTCCTGCACAGGATATAATGCCTGGGGGACTATACATTCCTGGCCTGGCTAAGGAATGGGGACATGACCTCAGCTAGGCAGTTAGATGAGTTACAATTTGTCTTTTGCTCAGGCGACCGAAACTGAAGGGAAAACAGAGAAATAAAAAACAGCAACAGAAACTTTGTTAATCTGTTCCCACTGCAGAACTCAGACAAGACTGCTGCTAGCTCTTTGAGGCCCACTTCTTGTCTTTTCCAAGATCTGGTTCTCTGGCTTTTCCAGGATTCTTTTGCTCTCAGAGTCTCCAATAAACTTCAGTTAGGCAGAGCTTCCCTTGCTGGCTTGAAGAACTTTTGGGATGTACTCTTTAAGCAAAGACTGAACTCTAGGAGGCTCAAAAAACTTAATTCCTGTCCCCACCCCGAAGGCAAGCAGAGAATGGTGGTTGACTATTACTAGGCCTCAAGTGCCCCCACCGGCAAGTGGCTTTAAACAATGTTTACTACCTCAGCGTTCACCTGTCTGCAGTTCCAGAGCAGCACTGCTGAGTTCAGCTCTGGGTATCCCACAAAAGTTGAAATAAGAAGTTCAGAGCTGGGCTGGGGATTTAGCTCAGTGGCACCTTGCCTGCCTCACAAGCGCAAGGTCCCGAGTTCAATCCCTGGTACAGGGCGGGGGAGAGCCTGGGTAATTTAGCAAGGCCTTGCTTCAAAATAAAAGGCTGAGATGTGGCTCAGTGCAAAGGTCTTGGTTCAGACCCCAGGACTGTCAAGTCAGCCAGGAGTGCAGTTAGAAGAGTGCCAGGCTGGAGCTGAGGATCCCCCAGCATGGCCCATGCACAGGTCTCAAGAGGACCCCTCCACTGTATTGCAAGAGTGGCTTCATGACCTAGAAGTTGGATTCCCCCAAAAGCAGACACTCAAGAGAAGATGGAAGGCATGGCTGGCATGGTGGTACAAATCTGCAATTCCAGAACTTGGGAGGATGAGGCAGGAGAAGCACAAGTTCGAGGCCAGCCTAGGGTAAGTAGGAAGTTCAAAATCAGATGGACGATGTATCAAAGCCCTGTCTCAGAAAAAGATAAGAGGCCATAATGGATTTTATGGCACAGGCTCGAGCGCAAGTCAAGCTCTATCATTTTTTGGGGGGCGGTACTGCGGATTGAACTCAGGACCTTGCACGTGCAAGGCAGGCGTGGTGCCTCTGAACTAAATCCCTGGCCCTCTTTTGGTTTTTTGAGACACAGTCTCACTATGTAGTCCAGGCTCAGCTCAAACTCACAGCAATCCTCCTGCTTCAGCCTCCTAAGTGCTGGGAATACAGGCATGCACCAACATTCCCAGATGTCATCTCTTTATCTTTACTAAAAAATTTTTTTTCCAGTGCCAGGGATTGAACTTAGGACCTTGTGCTTGTGAGGCAAACATGGTGCCACTAAGCTATATCCCTGGCCTGGATGTCATTTCTTTAATAGCCTACTGGTTACACAAGTTGGCCCTAGTAAATGTGGGTAGGAACCACAACAAGGCTGATTCCTAGGAGGCTAAGAACATGCACAGACACCACAGGGGCTGCCCAGAGGGGAAGACTAGCAGCCCTGTGGACGGGTTTGCAGCCAGCCACTATCCTCCTTGCTCTTTAGCTATTCCTAGTCACCTAGGACCCAAAGAAGATAGCATCAAAAATCATTACAAGTAATGGTGGAAGAAGGGGCAGATATGAAGAAAACACACAAAACAGGCAGGGAAGGCCTCCAGCCCAGGGACCATGTTTGGAGAACCAGAAGAGAACACGGCCTTTAAGGAGACAAAGCTGCCCAAGGTCTGAGGACAAAGAGCACAAAACACTGGTGCTAACCCCTGGCACACGAATACCTTCCTCCTGTAGTCCTAAAGATAGCTCTACGTCCAGTTCACTCCTGTTTTTGTCAATTGTCTGTTACTGTCATAACCCTAAAGTGGGCCTAAGAACCAGGATCCATCAGTCCAGACTCATTACGGGCTAAACTGTGTCCCCCAAAGTCGTATGTGGCAGGTCTACCTCGTAGTCCTGACTGTGGACCATATGTAGAAACAGGCCTTTAAAAGGGGTCAAGTTAAATGAGGCTGCTGGGGTGCGCCCTTATCTCACCTGACGATGTCCAGTGGAAGATATCAGGACACAGAGACGAGGGAGGTGTGTGCCCACACACAGGGAAGGCCCTGGGAAGCCACAGGAGGAGGACAGCTGTGTCAGCCAAGATGAGAAACCAACCCTGCTGCCACTGGATCTCGGGCTTCCAGCTTCCACAACTATGCAAAACAAATCTCTAGTTCTGGGGGATTTTGCTATGGTGACCCTTGCAGACTAATACCTAAGCCTTCTGCACTATGTTGGGATGCTGACTTTTCTGAACCAACTCCTAATCTGTGCTGTGTAATGTGGCATGAAGAGCCAGACAGGAGGCCTCCTTTCCAGAGTCGAGGTGAGCTGGTTTTGTGGTTTATATCTAGAGGTCCCCCTGAATTCCCACTTGCTCCTAGGTGCAGCTTTTGGGAGGCAACGGGATCACGAGTATGTGACCCTCACAGTGGACGGGTCCACTGATGGGCTTACATCCGAAGGTGATGCTGGGAGACGGTCTGGTAGGGGAGGTGGTCACTGGGGTGTGGCCTGGTGAGCTCTATCTCCCTCCTCCCTGAACTGCCCTCTGCTTCCTGTCACCATGCCCTGACTTCCTTCTCCTCTGCCCTGCTGCCCTGCCTCGCAGCCAGGCACTCTGGACTGAACCTGCACAAACTGAGGTATGATGAGCCTCTCCCCGTTAGAGTTGTGGGTGTTGGCTGCTGTGTCTCAGTGATGAGGAAGTGATGAAGACAGCCGGGCTAGGCTTCCTTGGCCAGTGATGAGGACAGGTCTGCTGTGGAGCCGTAGGCACTGTGTGCACGCCGTTTCCACTCTCGCTTCCTTGATTCCTTCCCTTCCTGATGGGCCCCAGGCTGCCATCGCCTCTCCTCCGAAGGCAGCTTCCAAGTCCACAGGATCCCGGGCCACCTCCACTGTGCTGCACACCTTTTCCCTAGCTGGCAAGCACCTTCTGGATTCGTTCCCGCACTTCTTTTGGTCCCAGGGACACCATCATTTCAGCTACAGGAGGTCCTTGCTAAGAACAAAAAGAAAATGTCACCTTATTGGTTACACTGCCAAAGGGACTTATGCTCAGCCTCAGTCTGCAGAAGTTACCCCCAGACCAGCCCCAGGCTGCAGCTTGCATACCAGGGAGCAGAGTTCGCATTTTATTTTATTTTTTGAGACAGGGTCTTGCTATGTAGTTCAGGCTGATCTTGAACTCATTATATAGCCCAGGCTGGCTTTGAACTCAAATTCACAGCAAATTCAAATCCTCCTGCCTCAGCCTCCTGAGCGCTGGGATTCCAGCTGTGGCCTCTATGCCCAGCTAAGAGTTTGCATTTTATTGGTCTTTAATTTCCCTGGAAGAGGATGGTCCTAGGAGCCTGTTTTCCCATATTAAGCACAGTGTTGATAGTCTATTAACCTCAATAACCAGAAAGCCCAGGAGGCAGGGACTGTATGTTCTGCTGGGTGCATCCTCTGCACTTCCCAGGGTGCTCTCGTACACAGTAATCACGTGGGAAACACTGTCTGCTGAAATACTGTCTCAAACACAGGGATCCCTCATGTTTCAGTCATCTTTGCAATCCCAAAAGCAAGCTTTGTGCCTACCCGTACAAGCTAGGTGAAGGATAAAGGAAGGCCCACTGCCCAGCCTCACCAGCTGTCCACTGAGGGCCATGCGGAGGAGTTGCATCACGATGTTGTGCTTGGTGCCTTGCAGCCCTCCTGACAGCTTCCTCAGTTCTCCATTCAGCGTATCTTGGCTTAAGCTTGTCTCAGATCTTTCTAAAAGCCTAGAAGAGGGGCAGCTCATAAGGGGCCTGCACAGCCAATAGCAAGAGGAGGGAGGGAAAACTTACAAGATCACTGATCAACTACAATATAAGCCTGGTCTGGGGGTCAGAGGAGAGATAGCTACCATTCAAGTTGGAAAAAGGAAAAACAATGAAGGGACCACATACACAGCTAATCCAAGCAAGTGAGATAACGGTAGGAAACTTAAGAGGGCACTAAAATACGAGGATTTACTAATTGCTACTTCTGGATCATATAATCACTAAGTCTCAAATTTCTTACCTGTAAAGTGGGGATAATAATAGCATTGCACTACACAGGGCTATGCTGGAGAGTTAGAACTTATACAGTGCTAAGTGCAGTACCTCAACATATGGTAAACAGATTTTATATTTCAATTAAAAGCTTCAAAATATTATACACAAGAGCTCAGAGACACTGCAGGAGAATCTAAAAAGAAACTTAGGAAGGGGTTAGACAGAATGGTATTACTGTAGTGTACCTTTTGGGTTAAAAAAAAGGAAGAAAATAAGATTATTTAGATATAATTAAGAGTAGTAGTTCTGCTACTGGGAAGACAGAAGACAGGGATTAAAAAGAGGACTGCCAATATATACTCCCCCAATTATGCTTGGGTTTTAAACCAAGGTCTAAAAGGTTAGAATTATTATTAATAAAAATATTACATTTAAAATTGAAAATTATGAGACTAGAGCTACACACATATAGTCTTGAATATGCAGACATTTCACACAGTCAACTGTTCAGTGTTGCTTCTCTTTTGGAGGCTGGAGGAGGAGGACAGGCCCATCATCTGCTATAAACTCTCTTATACCATTTGGGATTTTTTGCTACATGCATGTGTTTTTAACTCTTTAAAATATTTATTATAACCCGGGAATGGTAGTGTATGTTTGTAATCCCAGCACTCAGGAGGCTGAGGCAGGAGGACTGTGTGAGTTCTAGGCCAGCCTGGGTTGCATAGTGAGTTCAAGGCCAGGCCAAACTACATAGCAAGACCCTGTCTCACAAAATCAAAATTTAAAAGAAAAAGGGGTGGGGAAGTAGTTCAGTGGCACAGCACCTGGCTGGCAAGTGCAAGGTCCTGAGATCGAAACCCATTACAAAAACAATATAGATATACACACACACACACACATATGTGTATTTTATCATAATAATATACTGAAGGCTTTTAGGTATCAGGCAATGTCCAACTACTTTATACACAAGAAAAGCAACAGAAAACAGACATATGATCGTAGGACCCAGCCTGCCTGGTTTAAATCCTTCTTCCTCCAACTTCTTAGCTGTATTACTTTGGATAAGTTACTTAACCTTTGTGACTTGATTTTCTTATCTGTAAAAATGAGGATAACAATACTTGCTTGATTAGGTTGCTATGAATTTAAGTACATATATATACTCTACACATAACTGTTTGCTGTCTAATTTTGTTTTGAGACAGGGTCTCACTATGTAGTTTAGGCTGGCCTTGAACTCACTATATAGCTTAAGCTGGCCTCAAACTTGAGGCAAACCTCCTGTCTCAGCTTCCCAAGTGCTGGGATTAGAGGTGTGTGGTACTATGGCTTGCTCTGCCTTTCTTACATAGTAATAGAATATTTAGCTGGATACATGGCTGGCAAATTTTAAAAATACATTTTCCAGATATCCTGGCAGCTTGGTGTGGCCATATAACATAGTTCTAGCCAGCAGAATATGGGTAGAAATGATATGCGCACACTCACACACACAAAAAAGGCCGGGGATGTACCTCAGTGGTGCTGCGCCTAGCTGGCAAGCACAAGGTCCTAAGTTCAATTCGTGGTACCAAAGGAAGAAAAAAAAGGATATGTGCAGATTTTAAGTAAGGTCTTGGAAGAGGTGTCCCATCCTCTCCTCCTCTAGCTGAACTGTGGCCCATCCACGAACCACTGCAGACCACACAGACAAGAGGAAAACAGAGTGGAGGCCCTGTAAGTCAAGGAGACTGCCTCCTGCAGGCTGTTAACACAGGGGAGAAATGTACTTCTGTTTCTTTTGTCTGGTAGAGAAACCTGCCGAGTACCTGCTGAATACAGAGCCTTTGCAAAAGGAGCAGCCAGCAGAGGAGGGGAGAGAAAGGCACAGGCAGAGTGAGTGGAAGGAGGTCTTGCTAACAGCGCGGGGCCTAGGTTGAACTGATCTTCAACTGGGCAGTTCTAGCCTTTGTAATTACATAAAGAATCATTCCCCTGTTGCTTAAGCCAGCCTCAGCTGCATTTTCCACCGCTGTAATCAAAAGAATTCTGCTGTTATTACAGGAGGAAGTAGTATGACCACTATCGTATAGATAGCTAAGGCAATGGGAGCTCAGAGACATTTTACTTGGGCACAGTGAAGTCACTCAGGCAAGAAGAAATGACGTGGTGATAAGTGGCAGGGCTGTGATGCACTTCAGGTCGGGGGAGGCCAAGGCACCCAGTCTCTGTCCAGGGAGAGCCGGGCCCTCTGCTTTGGCCTCCAAACCTAAGGGAGCACTTCTTCAGTGGCCACGCGATTGTGCTGGGAGCCCAAGAGCTGATAGGTGGAGGAAGGGGCTGCAGGAGGGAGCACGAGGAGGGAGTGGGGGCACTCACCCCAGCACATGCGTGGCGATCACGTCCACCTTCTCTGAGATGGCGCTGAGCTGCGCTCGGTCCACGGCAGGGCGAGTCCACAGGTAAGAATATGCTGGGGAGACCAAGTCCTGCAGGCGGCAGATATGACCCTGGGGAAGGAGGCAGTCAATACGTGCACTGGGGGACAGGGCTCTAGGCACACTGGAAAGGGAAGGTTCAATTTCCCCACAACGCCAGGCCCCATACCTGTCGCAGCAAGATGATCCTCTCCACGTACATGGGGTCCAAGACATTCCTATCTTGCAGCTGGGGCCCAAACGCCTCCTCCACCAGCGCCTGCAGCTTCGTCACCAGCTGCTGCCTCTGGGTCTCACTGCTCACCAGCCGGCAGAGGTGCAGCCTGTGGGACAAGCCAGGGGGTGGCCCTGCTGCTGGCTCCTCCAGCCCACTCGACCCTCTCCCCAGGGGAAGGCACAAACCACAGAAGTCATCTCCATCTCATGGCGGAGTAGGAGTTTCTTTACAGTTTTATAAAAGGAAAGGAGTCTGCCAAGACTATGCAGACAGCCCGAGTCCAGGCATGCACTGTTTTTAAAATAGTAGCTAACCTTTTTTTTTACAGTACTGGGGATTAAATTTAGGGGTGCCCTACCACTGAGCTATACACCCAGCCCTTTATTTTCCAAGACAGAGCCTCACTCAATTGCTCAGGCTGGGCTTGAACTTGCCATCCTCTTGCCTCAACTTCCCAAGCAGCTGAGATTACAAGCATGTGCTAATGATGCCTGGTTCTTCTTCTTTCGGTACGGGGGATCCAACTTGGGACCTTGTGCTTGTGAGGCAGGCAGCAGAACCACTGAGCTAAATCCCCGGCCCCTTGGTTCTTCTTTTAAAAAATTTAATTTTTCATTACTGGGGTGAGAACTCTTACCACTGAGCAATACCTAACCCAGCCCAGAAGCTGGTATTTGAAACTAGGAAGGCATCACATGAAAAAGAGCTCTGGTTTCTCCTGAGAAATGAGAAGACCTGGCTACAAAGGGCTGCCGTGCTCCACGGCTTTCAGCCGAGAACTGGGCAGAAGCCCAGTTCACCTCCCCATCCACTGAACGGTCTCTTACCTGGCTTGCTCCTTCCTGTGGTATCCGCCTGGCCCTTACAGGTACCCAAGTTTACACAGCAGTCTGGGGGTGTCTACATCCCAGCCTTATTTAAATGATGGAGCTTGGCACAAAAGGAAAGGTCACAAATAGGAACTCCTAAGATCTGGAGAAGCTTGTTTGAATTAAAGGCTCACAATTTAAAAGTTTGGGTTTTCTTGCCAGTGTAAATTTCCTCTGAGAATTTGTCTGTTTTGAGATAAGGTCTATGTAGTTCACGACAACCTTGAACTCATCGTGATCCTCCGGCTTCAGCATGTGCCGCCACCACGCCTGGCTTTTGACTTAAGGTCTTTGCTGGGCATTGTGCCACGTGCTTGTAATCACAGGAATCAGGAGGCTGAGGCAGAGGTATTGCAAGTTTGAGGCCAGCCTGGACTAGGCAGTAAGTTCAAGGCTGGCCTGGACTATGTACTGAGATCCTGTCTCAAAAAAAGTGGGAGGACTCTTTATGTTGCACAGGCTGGCCTCGAACTCATGACCTCTTGCCCGAGCCTCCTCAGTAACCTGAGAATACTGGCACGCACCATTGCACCCAGCATCCAAAGTTCTCATATTTTTTATTTGATTGCCTTTTTTTTTTGGTATCGGGGATTGAACTTGGGACCTTGTGCTTACGAGGCAGGCGGCAGGTCATATTTTTTATTTTTTTGACACAGGATCATTATGTAGCTTAGGCTAGGCTTGAACACACTTAGCACCCTCCTGGCTCAGCCTCCAGGGTGCTGGGATGACAGGCATGCACCAATATGCCTGGGCTTTCCAGAATTCTTCAATGGCCCGACCCTCCTTTGAAAGCAGTAAAGCCTCTAAAACTGCAAGCCTCAAAGCAGGCCCTGCCATCCTTAGTCCCCGGCTGCCTTCTCACCTCCCTGGTGGGATCACTCTGAGGCGAGGCCGTTCTGAGGGGCAGCCTTCGTCCTGGCACAGAAGGCAGGCAAGGTGTGGGGGAGCAGCCTGTGGGCTCTGGGTCCGTACAGGCCTGAGTGTGAAGCCTGTCCTGCCAGGTGTCTGCACGAAGCTGCACAACCACTGGGAGGCTGGGGATCCTCATCCACGAAGTGGGGGCAACATGAGGGCTCCCGCAGAGGGAGGAGGCGGAGATCAGAGGAGGGACGGACGGCAAGATCCGTGCACCAGGTCCTGGAGCTACAGGCAGGCAGGGGGTCTGAAGAGGCTCTGGAGTGGTATAGGGTAGAGAGATCAGAGTCTGGGCATGGCGGCACACACCTATAATCCCAGTAGTACTCAGAGGCTGAGGCAGGAAGATTGCTGCAAGTTCGAGGCCAGCCTAGGCTCCAAAGTGAGTTCAAGGCCAGCCTGAACTACATAGTGAGAGCCTATCTCCAGAAAAGCAAAACAAGTTAAAAAAAAAGAAAAAAAAGAATCATGCCTGTAATCTCAGGCTGAGGAAGAAGTACCACAAGTTTGAGCCCAGCCCGGGGAACTTAGTGACTTGGTGAGACTCTATCTTAAAATGAGAAATAAAAAAGGCTATGATGTAGCTCAATGCAAAGGTCCTGGGTTCAATATCAGTACAAAAAAAAAAATTAAAAAGGCATTAAAGAAAACACATGAAAGCAGAAGTGAAACTTTTTCTAGAGTCTCCTTACCAGATAGGACAGTATAAAAGAAAAGAATCATGCAAGGTCTAGGACCTGGGACGTCGTAAGTGATAACTAAATGTTAGATACTATTTTCACACCACTATGCCACTAGTATCTATTACTATATTCTCCGCTATTTCTGTTATAATCATGGCAGTGGGTTGACTACAGAAATGTCTGAAGAGAAGAGCTTTGGCTGAATTAAGGCTGTGAGCACCAACATGAACGACCCATCCCTCCCTGGCTTGTAGAGAATCCACAAGTCCACCTCCATCTTTCTGCAAGGAAGACTGCAATGGATCATGGCATGTCACCCATCCTGACTCTACTGCCCACAGATACCACTTGCTTGTAATAAGAAAGGTAGGGCCGGGGATTTAGCTCAGTGGTTTTGCTGCCTGCTGCGCAAGCGCAAGGACCTGAGTTCGATCCCCGGTACCAAAAAAAAAAAAAAAAAAGAAGGTAGATGTATGTGTGGCATTTAACATGCAACCGTTTACTGCATCAACTTGAGCTCAGTATTTAACTTCCCTATGTCTGGAGTCCTCATATAAAACAGGGCAGAATCATAAAACTGACCTCACATGTATCCGTGATGGGAGAAGTACAAGTACACAAAGTGACAGCCTTAAAACAACTGCAGCTGATGTGAACGCTCTGCACTGCGAAAAGCCTGTCTCATCTCCAGACTGGTGCTGGAGACCCTCCCCATCTCAAAATAAATGTTAAAAGGGCTAGAGATGTAGTTCAGTGCAAAGTCCCTGGGTTCATGGGTTCAATCCCTAGTGCTGCAATCAAACAAACAAGACAGAGAGACAGCGCGTGAGAGAGCCAGCCAGCCAAATAGTCCCTAGCCGTCAGGTACAAACGTGGTCAGCAGCTCTACCACTAATGTCTTCCAACTGAGACAGGTCAACAGTGATTTGAACTGTAACCATATTTGGACGTTTCAAAGTGAAGACTACTTGAGGGCCAGGGATTTAGCTCAGTGGATCCATCGCCTGCCTCGCAAGCACAAGGTCCTAAATTCAATCCCCGGTATCAATAAAAAAAAAAAAGGACTGGGGATTTAGCTCAGTGGTTCTGCCGCCTGCTCTGGCAACGCAAGAACCCAAGTTTGATCCCCAGTACCAAAAAAAAAGAAAGAAAAAAGAGTGAAGACTACTTGACATACCAAGCACCTGAAATAAAAACCTGAGCGGTGGTGGCGCATGCCTGTAGTCCCAGCACTGGGAAGACTAAGGCAGGAGGATCGTTGTGAGCTGGAGGCCAGACTGAACCGCATGGTGAGACCTTGTCTCTAAAAAATATATATATATATAAACTTGAATCTGTGGACAATGCTCACTTACTCACTGTGTTGGCTGAGTGGACAGGAAGTCATTCTAAACAAAAGTGCCCTCTCCAGTCCTTGAAGCGCTGGCTAGGAACACAATGGTACCGATAAACTAGTCCCTGCCACTTACTGAGCCCTTTCTACATGGTAGGAGTCGGGCAAGACACCTCCACACAACTTTTAAGTCTTAACAATCATGCAAGAGGGGAACTCCTGTTAGCCCCATTCCAAGAAGAGGAACCTGAGGCCGTGGAGGTTAGGTGACCGACCCATGGTCACACAGCACCAGACAGCAGAGCCACTAGCCCTTCTGCTGTGAGGGCTGTCATGGCACGGGGGCTCCTTCTCCCGGGTCCCTCACCTGTTGAACTCTGGGAGCTTCTGCAGGTCCAGCAGGGCTGAGTGGCAGGTGATCCGGGTCAGGTCGAACTGCGTGATCAGCTCAGGCAGGGTCCTGCCCATCTGGTTCTCTGTAAGTGAGGCCACCGGCTGTTCAGCTTCCTGACTCCCTTCCTCTTTCGCCTCTTTTTGAGATGGGCATCTAGTTTTGCCATGACCTCCCAAGCTGCTCTCAAGTTCCTGGACTCACAAGACCTTTCCACCTCAGCCTCTTGAGTGCTGGGACCAGGCAAGCGTCATTACGTGTGCCCCTCCCCCCACCTTCCCACTGAGCTACATCCCCCAGCCCCTCTCGTTTTTAATTTTGGAACAGCCTTGCTACATTATCCAGGTGATCCTCCTGCCTCAGCCTCCCAAGGAGCGGGGATTACAGATGTGTACCACTATGCCTGGCTCTGTCCACTTTTTTCCTTTTTTGAGATGAGATCTTGCTATGTACTTGAAGCTGTTCTAGAACTTGCTACGTATCCCAGGCTGTCCTCTAACTCCCGGGTGCTGGAATTACAGGTGTGTGCTAACATGCCGAGCTCTTCTGGCCACTTTTAAAATACAAGGAAGGCTCAGTGAATGAGTAAGCTCTGGTCTTCCCATTCTACTGTGACCTAAAGGATTTGACTCAAGTCCCCAAATGAGCTCTCACTTCTACAAAGGATTCTGACATGTCACGATGGGAAATAAAAGGCTAAAATAATCAGGCAAAATCAATTCTCATTACCCTAAAATACACAAGCTACAAGAACAGTGCCTATTGCCTGGCTATGCCCCAGTCATGCTGATCTGATTAGTTCTGAGTGGGCTCTGGACACCTGTGTCTTTTACAAGCTTCCTAATGGATTCGAGTCCAACCACGGTTGGGAGCTGCTTCAGGTGAGAGCAGGCATAGTGATCAGGCACAGGAATACAGCTCTAGACCCCTTACTGTGTGACACTGGCAAGTTATTCAACCTCTGAGCCTCACAACTCCTTACAAACAGTTGGGATAACAAGTATCTATTCCTCAAGGACACTGTAAGGGTTAATGTAGTGAGAACAGAATAAACAGTAAACAGACTAACCCTGCCACATTTTCAGAAATTCCTGCCACAAGCAGCCATCCTATTTAATGCTCAATTCTTCCAAGTTTGGACTCTATGTCCTTGACCAAGTTTAAAGGTTTGCCTTAGAACTAACTAGATTCACAGTAGCATTAGTACTATTAGGTTATACGCTTGTGTAACTGCAGTAACCGTGCACCAAGCTGGGGGCTCCGCTCCTAAGCTCAGTGAAGCCTAACTGAAGAGGTGGCACCCCACACCTCCAGCTCTCTAGGGATGGGGACTGTGCCTACAGTTTTCACTGTTTGGAGCCAACTCAATGTGCTATCTGGCTTGATAAACACCTGTTGAATAAAATAATGAACTTGTCTAAGATCACATGGCTGGTATGGGGCAAAGCTGTGACTGACAGCCAGGTCTGCCTATAATACTGCCCCTGCTGTGCACCGCTCTACTCTGCCATGACTGCTCAGGTGGGTGGGTACCTGGAAACCCCGAGCCAGAGTTTGTGATGATGTCAAGTAAGGCATCAGGCAGAAAGCCAGCAGCAGCAAAATGCTCCAGGAAAATGTCCCCTTGCCTCTTGGACAGCTTGCTGCCATCCCCGTTGAGAAGCAGGGGCAGGTGGGCAAAGCGAGGTGGCTGCCAGCCCAGTGCCTGGTAGAGAAGCAGGTGCTTGGAGGTGGAGACAAGCCATTCGGAGCCCCGCAGCACGTGGCTGATGCCCATATGGTGGTCATCCACCACACAGGCCAGGTGGTAAGTGGGGAAGCCATCGCTCTTCAGGATGACCGGGTCCCCCTCCACACTGGCCACTTGGTGCCGGTTCCAGCCAAATACCAGGTCCTGGAATGCTGGTGCCTCCTCCTCCAGGCGGAAGCGGATGGCGGGCTTGGGGTTTGTGGCCAGCTTCTGGGCCACCTGCTTCTGGCTCAGGTCCCGGCACCGATTGTCATATCTGTTGGAAAGCAAAGCAGCATAGTAGCTAAGAGAACTGTTGCTGGACCAGAGTCCCACCTTTGTCTCTGACAGCTCTATGACCTGTGAAGTCATTTACCTCTTTTAAGTTGCTTCCTCAGTCTACAACGGGAGAATAAGGCTGTTGTGTGAAAAACTAAGTGAGACAATGGTGTGGCAGACACTAAGGTTTGCCTACCAACCAGCCATTCCTTCCTTCCCTCTTGCTAATGAGCAAATGGCAAAATGCTTAGACTGGGGTTGAATCATGATTGTTACAGTCAATTTTGCAATCCCGTCACCCGACACCCATACCAGGCCAGGTAGGAACGTAATCATATCCTAGTCATATACTCAAAGACAACTACACTTACGGGGCTAAGGCTCTGGGGAAGGTCTTTCTAAATGAAGGAAAGAAAGAGCTGCAAGAAGGACCATTCCCCTTTTGAATTTCTCACTTGCGCCCTTCAGTCCTCTTTGGAGAACTGTGCCCAGGTGCCTGATCCACAGAAACCGTGAGGCAACAAAGTTTGAAGGTAACTGGGTGCGTTAGCGAGCTTTCTTGCTGCTGAGACACAGTCCCTGACACCCACGATTTAAAAAATTAGAGTTTTGTTTGTTTTTGGTTTTTGAAACAGGGTCCCACTATGCAATCCAGGCTGGCCTCCAACTCATAGTGATCCCCCTACCTCAGCTTCCCAAGTGCTGGGATTACAGGGGTGCGCCACCCTATTGCCTAAGCAAAAGAAGAGATTTTTAATTTGGCTCACATTTTAAGGGGATTCAGTCCATGCTCATCTGGCTCTAAGGGAGAAATATCACAGCAGAAGGGGGTAGCGAGCAAAGATGCTTCCTTTAAGGCAGCCAGGAAACAGCAAAACAGTGCCAGAGAGGAAAGGACAAACCCAGACTCACCGTAAGTGTGCTCCACCAATCCCTGGGTATCTCCCAAGCCGAGCAAGTGAGCAAGTGGACTCAATCAAGCCTTGCCATCTTGCTGATTATGCAGCAAAGACAACAAAGGGGAGGCATTGTGAGGGGTCGGGCTCTTACCGGGGTGTCTGATGGCTCCTCAGGGCCTCCTTCTTGAGGAGCTCCAGCCGAAGCGGTGAGCAGAAGCAGGGGTAGGCAGCTCCTGTCTGCAGCAGCGCATCTGTGGCCTGGGCATACAGCTCGAGCCGCTGGGACTGCTGGTAGGGCCCCGAAGGGCCGCCCCGCCGGGGGCTCTCATCAGGGGGGATGCCTGGGACACAGGCAAAGAATCACCATTGAAGGACAGCGCCCAGGATGTGCAAGGCACCTGTTCCCAGGCATTGTGAGTTTGTTTTTCTTAACACAGCACTGCACATATTGTAACTTCCATCACTCACAGCCACATCAACATGTTTCACAGGAACCGTGCCAAAGAGGCAGCGGGTGCACAGCTCTTCTATGAACAGTCAGAATCACACCTTTAATCCCACACTCAGGAGGCTGAGGCAGGAGAGTCACGGAAAGTTCCAGGCCAGCTTAACTACACAGTGAGACCCTGTCTCAATAAATAAAAGTTATAAAGGGAGGGACTTTTTTTTGGTTTTTTGAGACAGGGTCCTGCTATGTGGCCCTGGCTGCAGTCCTCCTGCCTCAGCCTCCCTAGCACTGGGATTATAGGCATGGAGCCACCATGCCCGGCTGGGATGGGCTCTTTTAAAGTGCAAAGGCCCTGGGTTCAATTCCCAGTACAGGAAGAAAATAGAAAAAAGAAAGCTGGGGCCTTTAGGAACTGCGTGAAGTGAACAATCTACCTGAGACGAGACTCTACATCTCAAAACAGTCTCTGTATTTTTCCTCAAGGTTGTTAATCCTCACTGGTTATACCTGTCCATAGGGGTTTGTGCTGACCCTGGAAACACACACACACACACACCTCCTCTCCCTGAGGTTAGCTGTGCTCAGGATTACACTCCCCACAAGAAGACTGACTTCAGAGACTGCACACATTTTTGTTTGGCTCCTACAATGTAGTTAAAAAACAAAACAAAACACAAAACGGAGCCCAGGTTTAACAATGGAAAGTCTTCATAAAAAACAAAACAGAACACTGGACTCTCGACTGTCGGCTCCTCCTGGAAGCAGGAGACTGGAAGAGAGGGGCCAGCATTCCCAGGACAGCGGGGGCTGGAGCTTCCTCCTGCTCACCTCGGCCCTGCTGCCCAGCTTCCACGTGGCCTGTGTTTCCTGTCCCACCATGTGGAAAACCAACTTGAGATTCTGAGACAGGAAAAGGAAGCCCGAAATGGATGCACATTGAGGCAATATGCTTAACTGAAATAAATAGGTCACATATGTGTAAATACTGAATAGTTTCTCTGGTGTGAAATACTAAAAGTGTAAATAAAGTTCAAATGGTATAATTAATAACGTGAAATACGAAGAAAAGGTCTAAAGGAGCAGGGGAAGTGGAGGGGTAGGGGAAAGGAAAGAAGGGAAAGGAAAAAATGAGAAAAGTAAAAACATGGAAACAAAGTCTTTGTAAATAGGGAGGGGTGGAGGGGGTGAAGGGAGGCCAGGGAAGGGGGAAAAAATAAGAACCAAGATGCACCATGTAAAAGTACAAGATCTCAATGATGAATGTAACTGTATTGTGTACCTAAAATGTACCAATAAACAATGAAAAAAAAAAAAGAAAGAAAGAAAAAGAAGCCCAGCTACCATGTCTGTCTCTTCACAGTGGCCCACCTTATGCTGTAGGGTGTATTTAAAATTTTTTTTTTCTCTCCTTTTTCCTATTTTTTTTTTGGTACCGGGGATCGAACTCGGGACCTTGTGCTTTTGATGCAGGTGGCAGAAACACCAAGCTAAATCCCCGGCCCTTTTTCCTTTTACTTGGCCCAAACTGACTCTACCAGCAGTTTTTTCCCCACCTTACTAAATATGAAGCTTTGCCACTGTTTAAAAAAAAAGAAAAAGAATACCAAGACAGCCTTGGACCTTGGCTTCAAAGAGCCTGGACATTTTCTCCTGTGGCACCTGTCACTCCACGCAGCTAAGATTTACCCACTTTTCAAGGAGCGCCTCAGTGTCCATCATAAGCCCCATGAGGTGTACAGGCCCTTCTCCCCTCCCTCCCTCCCTCCCAGAAGGGTCCATTCCCTGCTAGGCTCACCTGCCCACTCCAGCATGTCCTCGATATTCTCTGCTGCCCCAGGCACAAGGCGGGTCTGATCTGTGTCCTCCAACCGCAGGATGAAGCTCCCCTGGTGCTTCTTGGCAAAGATGTAGTTGTAAAGGGCAGTGCGGAGGCCCCCCAGGTGCAAGAAGCCTGGTGGGAGGAGAGAAGAGTTCAGAGGAGAGGGCAAAAGACCGCTGCTTGTGACACAACGCCCCGCCCAAGGCACACAAAAAAGCCCAAGCAATGGCCATGCCTGTCCCCTCTCCCACAAGATGCCCACTGCAGAGACTCATTCTGTCCTCTGTCCTCCCGCTGCTGGCAGCAGGAGCCTGCTCAGGTTTCAGGGAGTATCATCGTGCAAAAATGCTCTGGCTCTCATACTCATTGCTCTCCTTTGGCATTCACCTTAAGGCCAAGTTTCACCTCAAGGAAAAGCAGACGATTATTTAATGAAGCCATGTCACACACACATTCAACTCATACAAATTTAATGATGTGTCCTAGTCAAAAAAGCAAATTAAGGGCTGGGGATTTAGCTCAGTGGCACTGTGCCTGCCTCAAAAGCACAAGGTCCTGAGTTCGATCCCCAATACCAAAAAAAAAGTAAGTTAATTACAAGTGGAAAAAAAAATTTAAATACTATAAAATCACTTTTCCATACATACTCTATTTACATCATACAATTTGGATTTTGCTTCCTTGAGAGTTGTACTTTAAGTCCTATTTATTTATTTATTGAGATAAGGTCTTACCATAGTACGGGGTGGTTTGAATTCACTATGGGGCCCAGGCTGGCCTCAAACTCACAGAGATCCTCCTGCCTCAGCCTCCTGTGTGGTGGCCTAACAGGCATGCATCCCCATGCCTGTTTTGGTTAGTATTTATTTATTTTTTGTTGTTTTTTTGTTTTCTTTTGTTTGGTACTGGAGTTCGAACTCGGGTTCTTCTGCTTGCGAGGTAGGTGGCAGAACCCACCAGCTAAATCCCCAGCCCCAATTTGGTTAGTATTTAAAACTGGGGTTTCTCCAGACCTAGCGGTGCATACTTGTAATCCCAGCACTGGGGAGGCTGAGGCAAGAGAATCACCTTCAGGTCCCAACCAGCCTGGACTACATAGTTCAAGGCCAGCCTGAACTACAAAATGAGACACTGTCTCAAAACAACCAAAAAATATAAATACTAACCAAAAGTGATATTTGACTCCACTGTATTTTGGTTTACCTGAGTTAAAACTCCTAAGACTTTCACTTTTCTTGACTGAAAACTTAAAATTAACAGTTTTCCCAGGGCTGTCATGTCCTCTTCCCCTACTCTCTTTGGTCCAGCCTGTGGCCCTGAGTTTCCATAGTGAGCTCCTCTGCATTTCCAGGTGCAGCTACAGAATAGGAAAATCTCCTCTGGGGTCCAGCAAACCCCAGTTCAGCACAGATTATGTGGGTGACGTTTGGCTAAATATTGCAAGGCCGCCACAAAACCAGTTGTGTTCAGACACTGGGTTCTAGGAATCTCACAACACAAGACTCAGGCCCAGTAGTTGAAAACAGGGCCTGTTGTATCATATACACCTGGAGTCAAATCCATCCTTTATCAGTTACTATCCTCTGGGCAATTAAATTGATTTTTAAGAGCTTTAATTTCTTCAACTGTTGGAAGATTAAAAACAACACATAGGAACTTTCCAAAATTGGGGGTGGTGGCACTGCTTGTAATCCCAGTACTAGAGAGGCTGAGGCAATAGGATTTCGAGTTCAATGCCAGCCTGAGCTACACAGTGACTTACCAAGATCCTGCCTCACGATAACACGTAGTAAAAAGGGATAGGAATGTAGCTCAGTGTGAAGGACCTGGGTTCAATCCCTAGTACGGGGAGAAAAACAAAATAGGAATCTTCCTTACAATGGTGTTGCTGTGATATCTAAATGGTGGCTGAAGCACACCTTTAATTACTTTTAGCTGTTACAGTGATCTACGTTGATTGATAATTCTGTCTGCAGTCAGCATTTCCCATATGGGCTTTTCTCACACATTAGCAAGGCAATATGAATCACAATTACCCTGCAAAGGCCACCTTTATTAAATGCTTTCCACTTGTACCAGACCTTGCTAAATGGCCCAAATCCATGCTGCAGGTGCTATTATTAGCTCTGCTTGACAAGATGGGAAAACCAAGGCACAGAAGGATAATGTCATTTGCCCAAGTTAACATCTAGGGATTGACAAAGACAGAAATTTGTATCTAGACAATCCTAGGCTTCGGTACTCTTCCCAAGTCCTCCTCAAAGTAAAGTGGGCAAACTAGTGCTGGTTTGTAAGCTGCTGCCAGTTCACAGCAGGTACCACAGAAATGGAGTAAAGATTTGGAAACTTACAGTAATTTTGTCCTTTGAACCTAATAAAAAGACATATTTTTAAAATTTACATGTTTGCATGATATATTTTGTATGCTTGCAAGAGTTTCATTTTTCTAGAAATTCATTTATACTGATTTTATACAAATACTGGTCCACAATTGAAAAATTTAAAACCACTGTTTCCACCACAAATGGTCCTGCCTGCCTAAAAAGATTCTGGCATTCCATACCAGCTGAGATTTTGCCACAAAGATCTACTGACTCTAGGATCTGGAATGTAAGGTATGCTCTGGGCTGACAGTATCCTTGCTTGCTAAGAAAGGATCGGGTGGAAGGTGGGGTGGGGCTGACAGGATCTCCAACAGGCTATTCAACAGGCCTCTTCCCTTCTGGCTTGCTAAGCTTCCAACACTAACCACAGGTCCTTTGTAGCTGACATTTCCTTTGCCCAGTTTCCTTCCATAGGCTTCTTCTTTTTTTTTTGGTACAGGGGATTGAACTCCGGACCTTGTGCTTGTGAGGCAGGCACCGTAACCACTGAACTAAATCCCCAGCCCCACAGGCTTCTTATAAAAGGTGATTTTTTAATTAATTAATTTATTTTTGAGACAGGGTCTCACTGTACAGTTCAGGCCAGCCTTGAATTCACTGTGTAGCCCAGGCTGGGCCTGAACTCATGGCAATCTTTCTGCCTCAGCCTCCCAAGTGCTGCGATCACAGGGAGGCAGCAGGCGCGATTCCGACATTTGGTTCTCAGGCGAAGTGTGTCAGAAAGGCATTCTCCAGCATCCTCTCTCACTCTCAGTCTCCTACTCTGCTTCAGGTCCTGCATGGTACGTGTGACTCTAAAATTACTGTTTTCGGTAATGGGGACTGAACCGAAGGCCTCACTTACTCTCTTCTTTTCGAGACAATCTCACCTAAGTTGCCCAAGCCGACCTTGAACTTGTGAGCCTCCTACTTCAGCCTCCCAAAGTGCTGGATCATAGGGGTGTGCCATCATACGCAGTTTAAAACTTCTTTTTATCGGTATTTGCCCGGCCACTAGAGCGTAGGCTCCTTGAGAGTAGGAGGTCCCAACTTTTTCAATCACCAGCAGAGGCGGCGAACCCATGGCACGCACGGGGTGGTGTACCATTGAAAGTTCTCTGAAAGGTTCGCGTCTGCATCCCGCCACTTGGCAGGCGGCCATTTATACTCATTTCACTTTTATTGAATGCACTTTTTAAAAGACTCAAAGAGAGGACACATTATATAAACAAACCCCTGGCGCCCGCACCTCAACTTCTGCCCTTGTAAAACGGGGTCGCGAGCCCCTCTTCCCGCCGGCCCGCCACACCACCGGAAAGGATCGTTCCGAGGCGCTCTGGGGGCGGGGACCGCAGCGTGCCGAGGCCTGCAGCGTCACGTCCTCCAAGGTTACCTGTGGGGCTGGGGGCGAACCGCACTCGCACCGCTGCCCCGAGGTCAGCGCCCAGACTGGCCTCACGCCGACCCATGGGGCGAGCCAAAGCCGCGGGGAGCGTCCCGGGCTGCGGAAGCCTCCTCCAGAGCGCCGCCATGTGCCAGGGTCCCGCGCACGTGGGCTTCTGCGCGGGTCACTTCCGGGCACACCTCCCCGCCAATCGGCGTTCGCCACAGCGGGTGCAGCCCCGTCCCTTAAAGGTAAAGGTCCTTTAGTTTGAAAGCCCACGCCCCCCTGAACGGCTGCGGTCGCCGCTCACCAACAGGGGGCAGAGCCAGGCGAGCGGGCTATTTCCCCGCCCCGCCCCCCTCATCCCGGGAAAGCTAAAGCGTGGCAGGGGCCGGGCCGGGGAAGCGGAGGAGGCGGGTCTCCATAGAAACCTCCACCTGTTTCCGGCCAGCCAGTACAAGATTAGGGGCTGCTGCGGGGGCCAATCTCAGTCCGCTGGCCTCTTCCCGGCGGCCTCTGCGTGAGCAGTGGGTGTTGTACACAATCATCATGGCGGCGGCCGGGGCCCCGGATGGTGAGTGCGGAGCGGGTGGCGGGAGCCGGGCTGAGGCCGAGCTCGCTGGCGCTCCTGAGGGGGAATGCGCCCTGGGCCCGGAGGGAGGAGCGTGCCCCGGGAGCGGCGACTCGGGGGTACCCGGGCCGAGCCCGGTCCCAGGCCCAGCCTGTGGCGAGCGCCCACCCTGTTAACCCCCTTTGCAGGCATGGAGGAGTCGGGCATGGACACCGAGGCCGAGACGGTGGTAACCGAGGTGCCCGCGCAGCCCCTCAACTGCGTGGATGCCGAGGCCGCAGCGGGGGCGGCGGGCGAGGACTCCTGCGACGCTCGAGGCAGCCTGCAGCCGGCCCCGGCCCAGCCCCCTGGGGACCCCGCGGCCCAGGCCTCGGTCAGCAACGGCGAAGACGCGGGCGGCGGCGCGGGCAAGGAGCTGGAGCTGGTGGACCTGAAGATCATCTGGAACAAGACCAAGCACGACGTGAAGGTTCCCCTGGACAGCACAGGTTCCGAGCTGAAACAGAAGATTCACTCCATTACAGGTAATCTCGGCGCTGACAGCCAGCCTCCACCCCCACCTCCTTCCAGTTCCTGGTGCGTACGCTGTTCTGGACTCTCCTCGGCTCTCAGCGATCTGCAGTCTCCCAAAGTCAGTTCGTGAACGCCTATTGTTAATCAGATGGGAAAAACGAGACCTAAAATCACAGCGAGTGAGTGTGAGATTCCAGCCCAGGTCTTTTCGCGCAAGCTTCAGACTAGTACTGTTCTAACTTCGTTAGTAAAAATCACCTGAAGCACTTGTTAAATTTACAGCTGTAGACCCTTTCCCTGGAGATTCTGATTCAATGAGTCTGGGATGTAGTCACGAATTTATTTTTAGCAAATATCTTAGGTAACTTTCACAAGGGAAATTTAAGAAACAGTGCTGTTGACTGTGTACTGACCCTTCAAAATTATCTTATTTATCTTGCTTTGCCATTTGACATGGTTTCTTTTTAAAGTTTTTTATGTAGCCTATAAGGTCATAAGAACAGTAACTTTGTCCTTACTTGTTCTACTTCTCACACCTGTGAATTCTCACTTAATATTTGAGTGAGTAGATGATTCAGGGACAATTTGAGAAGTATTTTCGATATTCATTGAACAATTACTGAATACAGTCCCAGTTGATGTGCTGGATGCTTTACATTTGTACTGTCTTAATCCTTAAACCTATACTGAAGGACCGATTGTCATCGCTATCATAAAATTGTAGAAATTGAGGCTTAGATATTGTGGATCGCCTAAGTTTATAAGACTAATAGATAATGAAGCCTGTTTACTTCCTGCTCTGTTACTGTCCATCCTTTGCCCTCTCTCTCCTTTTTTTTTTTTTTGAGACAGGGTCTCACTGTGTAGTTGAGGCTGGCCTTGAACTCATAGCGATCCTCCTGCCTCAGCTTCCCAAGTGCTGGGATGACAGGCGTGCACCACCATTCCCGGCTTCCTGTGCTGTTACTCAAGGGCTATGGTCAGCACATGTTTGTGCCTTCCTTTAACTATCTGCTCTGTACCTTTTCCCAAGGTCTCCCGCCTGCCATGCAGAAGGTCATGTATAAGGGGCTTGTCCCTGAAGATAAGACGTTGAGGGAAATAAAAGTGACCAGTGGGGCCAAGATCATGGTGGTTGGCTCCACGATAAATGATGTTTTAGCAGTAAACACACCCAAAGAGGCTGCGCAGCAGGATGCCAAGGCTGAAGAGAACAAGAAGGAGCCTCTCTGCAGGCAAAAAGTGAGTCCATCTTATGCTTGTTGCTTGTGAGAAATTTGAGGCTTTGTTCTCTCTACCCTGGCTGGTTATATTCTCCCTAGAATAAGTTCCTTTTTGGACAGGGCCCATGATGGAAATTTATGGCAGCAGTTGGGTGCGGCAGAGTGGAGGTGACAACTACCTGAGATTTGCAACTTTATTTCATCTGGCGGGTCAGTGTGTCTCAAGTCTACCTACTTTAGAACAAGGCTTTTGTGAACGGAACTTCAGACCAGATGTTAAAAGGAATCAAATATGGGTTTCTCTGTCCTATTTAGTGCTACAGAAAAATGCCAGCACTACTAGAACTAAGCCCCCATCTTACATACAAGTTTGTGCATTTGATTTTTGGTTTGTGGCTTCTTCCAAGTTCAAAATGACCAGTTATGCATAGGCATGGAAATCAGCAAATATCGGAGGTTCCTCTAAAACTGACCATTTCAGGAAGCCAGATGAAGCAGAGTAGAAAGATAGCACTGTTCTTGTTCTCCTGATCTGTGAAATATAGGCTGTTTTTTTCATAATTTCTCCATTGCTCATATTGTGTAGAATCTTACTTTGTCCTGAGTGCCTAGCAGACATTAAATTTTATTTTTTAATTTTACTTGCTTATTTATTGTAGTACCGAGGATTGAACACAGCCTTTGGACTGAGTTATATCCACAGCCCTTTAAAAAATATTTTTTAAAATTTTGAGCCAGGGACTCATCGAGTTGCTCAGGTTGGGCTCAAGCTTGCCTATCCTCTTGCTTCCGCCTTCTAGTGTGCTGCTGGGATGACAGCTCTGTGTCATTAGGCCCAGCTAAAGGTATTTACTGACTGGAAGAATCATCACTTGTGCTCTTCTCACCCATTGAACCCACTTCTTGTGAATAGCTGCTGTACCAGGAAAACAGATATTCTTAGTTTAACCTGTGTCCTAGCACGGTAGATCAGTTTTGATCCAGTGTCAGTTTTAGCAAAAGTAGACATTGAGATAACATGTTCAGGGTGGGGCACAATTTTGTGCTAGAGATCCACAATCCCTTATGTGTGCTTGCAAAACTTGGAAGAGTTTTTATAAATTCACATCACTGTTTTTGGTGATGTCTGAGACTCCATAGAGGATATT